AGCCCCCTTCAGTGCACACTCCGCCACGGTGGCTGCTGTGGAACATCTATCTGATCAGGGACGTCCTGCCCAAAATGCCGCTCACTTTCTGGAGGGGGCTCCAAGCCTCCACCCAGCACGAGAGCCCACGTCCACCTGGTCTGTGCCCACCTCTCCGGCGACTTCCAAGGGTGCCTTTCATTCACCAGTGGTTCTCGGGGTTCTTGAAGACTTCCTCCCAGATACGGAATCCCTGATACCCCACCCACCGGGCCCAGCACAGACCTGCCTGAGCCCTGCCCTGCAGCCCGGGCTTCTGCCCCAGGGGCCCCTCCTCTCCCTGCCTCCTCTGAGAGCTGTGGCCAGTCCTCTGCCCTCCTCCCTTCCCCCCCGCCACTCTGGTGGCACTTTCCACAGCGGATGGGTCCTGAGTTTCCTCATCAGTCTGTGTGCCTCTCCAAAGCTGGGCCATGTCCTTTACCTCCGTTTCTGAGACCCTAACTCAGCTGGTCTGCAGGGGCGAGCACGCGTTCGCCACTCACACCGCCCAGGGCCAGTCCTCAGTGCCCACCCTGCTCGCCCCGCCCCCGGGCGGCTCCCCCTCCCCTCCTCCAGGCCCTCCCACCCCAACCAAAAATCCCCTTTCCCGGGAAAAGAAGTGTATTACAAACGTTCTAACAGGGCTCACAGGATGTTAGAGCCGAAGGGGCCTCAGAAACGGTCCGGTCCAGGGGCTTCCAAACACACGTCTGCAGATTGCTCCCGGACTGGCTGCAAAAGAACAACATGGGGAGGGACTTTAACACAGAGTCCTGGGCTCCTCCTAGGAGGCTGTGATTCAGCAGGTCTGAGAGGGATCCCTGCGGGTCTGTAAGGGCTCCCAGGTGACGCCAGTGCACTGGCCTAGTCCACCTCTTCATCTGTTAGTGGACACCTTGAGCTCCAAAAGGAAACGTTCAGGGGCGCCCAGCTGGCTCCGTGGAGCAGGCGACTCTTAATCTCAGGGTTGTGAGTTGAGCCCCATGTTGGGTGTATGGATAACTTAAAAAATTAAATCTTAAAAAAAAAAGCATTAAAAAAGAAAGAAAGGGAGGGAGGAGAGAAGGAGAAGCTCACCCATCAAACATTTGCCAAATGCCAGGAGTCCTGCCTGGCTCTGAGGACACGAAGGGAAAGCCCAGAGCCTGCCCCTGAGGGTCCCCCACACACGACCCACTGGAAAGCCCAGCAGCCACGTATCCGGGGTGCCACGGAAGGCCCATCAAGGACACTGGTTTCCCACAGGCAAGGAAGGGAGAGGGACTCTCTCTGAGCGGGGTCACCTCAGTGAGCCCCCTGGGCTCCTTCTGTTTCCCGCACTCCTCTCTGGGCACAATGTTTCCTTCTGCGGCAGTTATTCAGTACAATATTCCCTCTTCTGCTGTCTCGTAAGCCCCTCAACAGGCACTCACTAAATTATTACACCGATATCCCCTCAGTTCGAGGTTTGAGTTTCTCCTTGGATGGGCATCTCAAACTTAATATGTCCAGAGTCTAACTCTCAATTTCCAGTGTCTTAGGCCACACTGGACATCCGTGAGTCCCCTCACCGTCAGACCCCACAACCAATCCAAGAGCAAATCCCATCAAGTGTTCCTTCAAAACATCTCCACATCAACCATTTCCCACCGCCTCCAGCCATCGCCACCTGTCCCCCGGGTCCCGGGTCCCTGCAGAAGTCTGCCACCCTCGCCTCCACTGCTCATTCCCAACACAGTAGCCAGACTACTGCTCTAAAAACACCCACCAGGGGCACCTGGGTGGGTGAGCCGGTTAAGCACCTTGACTTCGGCTGAAGCAAGATCTCACAGTTCATGAGTTGGAGCCCCATATCAGGCTCACTGCTCTCAGTAGAAAGCCTGCTTCAGATCCTCTGTCTCCCTCTCTCTCTGCCCCTCCTCTGCTGGCGTACATAGTCTCTCTCTCTCTCTCTCTCTCTCTCTCAAAAATAAACAAACAAACAAACAAAAAAGGCATCAAATCACATTCCTCCTGTCTTCAGGAGACCTTCAACATGGTCCCATCTCACACAGAGAGAGCTCCGAGCATCACCACAGCCTCCGTGGCCAGGAGGGTCTAAGTGCCCGGTCCCCCACGCCTGTCTCTGTCACCCAGTTGGCTCGGGGGCACACAGGCCTCCGCCCTGCTCCTCAGGCACACACCTGCTCAGAGCCTTTGAGTCTACTGTTCCCTCTGCTTGGACTGCCCTTCCCCTCAGATCTCAAGGGGTTCACTGCTCACTTCCAACCAGTCTTTACTCAAATGTCCTTCTGTCAGGAACCTCCCATGACCAGTGTGCATAACATCCCAGTCCCAACCCTCATGGTCACACTATCAGTCTCTGTTCTTTACTTGTTTTTTCTTCAAAGCCCTTCCCACCACCTGACCTGTTACAGAATTGCTCATGTCTTCATGGTCTCTTTATAAGCCCCAGTGTGTTTACTGGAAGCTGACCCACCATTAGAAAAGGGGAGTGACCTGACAGGCTCCTCTGCCAGAACACGTTGCTCAAGGACAGCCTCGGGTTCCTGAGCAGTTGGCAAGTTTGCAACGTTATTTGTGCTTCACTTTTTAAAACTCTGCCATCAACGGAGAGACCTTGAGTGGTGATGGGGCCTTGCCAGTGGGAAGGGGTCTGCCCGAAGCAGCCCTTGGCCATTAATCCTGGGCTCCTACATGGCTGATTCAGTTAAATGCTGGATCGGTGGGAGGTGTCTAGTGGCCAGCGTCCCCACAATAAGGTCATCCATCTTGAGGATGGGAACCATGTGACATCAGTAGGGGCGGAGAGTTACCTGTGAGCAGGGCACAGGGCAGGCTTACGTCCTCAGAAAAGGGGACACAACTCTATGAATATACTAAAATCACTCAGTTCTGTGCTTTAAATGGGTGAATTGCATGGCATGTGAATCTTATCTCAAAAAGACTGTTAATTTTTTTTTAAGATGAAAGTTGGGGGTAAAACTGGAGGGGGTTGGGATTAGGCAGCACCAGTCAGCTAAGTGAGAAGACACAAATGGAAACTAGGTAGAGACAAAGTCAAAGCAGAGCAGAGAACGGAGACAAAAACGGATACTCTGTAACCTGCACCCTTGCCCTTTCCGTACTTGAAAACAGAGCCCAGCGCTAACTGGGCACAGCATTTTGCCAGAAAGGAACAGAACAGAGCCTGAGAAGCAAGAGGCACAGGACTCTCCTCGTTCACGCCACCTCCTCCAGGAGTCCCTCCCACTGAGCTTTGTAAAAGCATCGTCTCCCAGTAGTAGGGATGCCCAAAAGGCAGGCAGCCTCAGACCTGCTGGGAGCCAAGCCTCCGGTCCCTGAACAAAGGGCCCCGGCAAAGAGAAAGCCTCCCTTCCGCGGGATTACCTCTTCCTCATTTCTGGTACCCTCGTGTTTGGGGGCTCTGTGTGTATCACGGGGCTCATCTAGCACAAGCAAACTGCAGTCCCCAAGATTCCAAAACCAAAAGGGTTTCGGGGGGCGAGGGTGAGGAGGTGGGAACACGGAACATGCTCTTACTCTTGGGGTATCTCTGTGGTTCCCTTATCTCTGTCTCTCTCTCTGTGTCTCTGTCTCTGTCTCTCTCTCTCTCTCTCTCACACACACACACACACACACACACACACACACACACACACACACACCTTCCTCCCTCCTCTCTCCTTCCTCGCTCAGCAGAGACTGGGTGGGCACTTTCACCAGGGCTCCTCGGACCCCAGGGCAGTAGCCGCCTTCAGGAGAGCGAGGCACCAGCCGAGGCAGCTTTTTACCAACAAGGCAGCCTGGCAACAGATCCGACATCCGGGTGTCCACGCCTGTGCCCGCTATTCGTGCCCCTGATGCTCCAAGGGGATGGCGGGGAGTGAAGTATCTAAAGAAACACCCCTGTGTGCCCTCCTACCGTCAGACAAAACAGAGTATAAAAATTCCTTGTCTTTTTAAGACACATAATAAAATATTTACAGATAAAATGTTGTGATATCTGAGATTTGTCGCAAAGTGACAGAGTGGGGGGAAAGGACAGGGAGGGTGTATGTGAATGAAACAAGATTCGCCACAGATTAATAACTACCGGACGCGGGCAAGGAGGACGTGGAGGCTCAGCCCACTGTTTTCTCTGCACTGTGTGTCTACTCCAGCACACTCAGGACCGGACCCTTGCTTAATGGACCCTGTGAGTCCAAGTAGACAAGCCCCGATGGCACACCCCTTAGCATGGCTATTGTTTAGCAGCAGAGAGCAACAAAGTGTTGGTGAGGGCGTGGAGAAATGAGAACCCTTGCGCACTGCTGGAAGGAATACAAAACGGTGCAGCCACTTAGGAAAAGCGTGGCGGTTCCTAATGAAAATCAAACATAGAATTACCATGGGATCTAGCAACTCCACTCTGGGTATGTGTCCGAAAGTACTGAACGCAGGGTCTCAAGGAGTAATTTTCATACCCATGTTCATAGCGGCATTATTCACGATAACCAAAAAATGAAAGCAACCCAAGTGTCCACCAATAGATGAATGGATAAACAAAATGTAACATAAATAGACACTGGAATACTATTCAGCCACAAAAAGGCATAAAGTTCTGACGCATTCTACAGCACGGGTGAACCTTGAGGGCATCGTGCTAAAAGGACAAACAGCGTGGGATTCTACCTAGGAATCCAGGTACCTCGAGTAGTCAAGGTCACGGAGACAGAAGTACAGCGGTGGTTGCCCGGGGCCGAGGGGAGAGAGGGCGGGGGGTTAGTGTGGAACGGCCACAGGGCTTCAGTCCGGGACGAGGAATGACGCCGGAACGGGGTGATGATTGTACCGTTGTGAATGTACTCGAGGCCACTTAACAGTACACTGAAAAATGGTTAAAATGCTCAATTTTGTCATGTGTATTTGGCCACAATTTAAAAAAAAACAAACAAACAGCAAGGAACATAAAGACATCCCTTGGGTCTCTTCAAGCCCGGCTCAGGTCAACCTCATCATACCTCAGAGAGGCTCTCAAGACAGGGGCGTGGTGAGCGCTGCTGGGGGGGCGGAGCTGCGGAGAAAGGAGTCTCATCTACCTAGGCTCATGGTCTAGTTTCCAAACACCACCTAAGGAAAGAAAAAAAAAGATATTTTTTAATAGGCCTAACAGTAAATGTCTAAGTAAGTTAAGGTGCGAATTGCAGTAATAAAAGTCTAGGTCAGACCCTGAGAAAACTCTCCAAACATAAACTCAAAGCCCCGTACTCAAAGAGCAGACTTTTGCGGGCCCTGGACCGTCTGCCCTCCCCCGTCGTGGTGTGGAGGTTCAGAGCACAGACTCTACCTGGGTTCAAACCTCAGCTCTGCTGCTCACTAGCCATTTGACCCTACGGAGGTTTCCTCACATCTGGGTCCCAGTGTAAAACGCGGCGGTTGCAGGGACTCAGTGAGTTAATATTTGTAAAGTTCTTACAACACTGCCTTAAACACAGCCAGTGCGTGTGTTTGTCAAGGACTCTGCCAAGGTCAGAGTGCCCCAGCGGACTGCTGAATCCCTCCATGTCAGGCTGCTGGGAGCACACACAGGGGACAGAGACCAGGGAAGGCTACCCCTCCACACAGCTCAGGAGGCCCGCTGGACGAAGAGGGCGGGGGTGTGGACGGAGGGACCGCAGCAGACCCGCCGGGGAAGGCCACAGGTGGGGAGAAGCAGGGAAGCACAAGCACCGAGCAGGGGCAGGGAATGGGAGAAGGTATCGTAAAGCTGGCAGAACCCATTTTTTTAAAAAACTAGGTGATCTTCACCGTCACTGAGCATCAGAAACACCTCAGAACTTTAGAGATGACTTCACGCCCGGCCACAGCACCCTGAGATGTGTGTTTAATCGGGCCGGTGTGGAGAAACTGGTTACGGGCCCACCCGCTCTGTGAGCCCACAAATGACGGAATAAAAAGTCACGTTTCAAATTCGGCTCACGTGCTTGCTTAGTTCTGCATTCCCTCCCTTGACTTCACTTTCGTCTTAACCTTGAGAGGCTAGCATTTACCTGGATCCTAAAGACAGATATGGACAATATTAAGGGGAAAATTTAGAAGGGAAGGGAGAGAAGCTCACTGTCCCAATTCTACAGAAGGGAGACAAAAACTTTTTTCCCCCCTGAACTTTCTCTTTTTGCTATTGGAACATCACATTTCAAAACATCACCTGAGAAGCAGACGCCGGGCTACCCCACTGAGGACAAAGGTCAGAGGCCAGGGCACCAGGTAGGTGGGTGTTGGATACAAGGTGTCCTACGGAAGTTAGCTCCAGTCAACGTCAGCCTCGGCTCCTGCAGCTGCTGGGCTCTGTCAGGCTATTCAAACCGTCTCTTGGAGCCAGTAACGCACTTGGCTGCAGAGAGAGGCTGGCCGCCCCGAGCAGCAGGCTTCACCGACCCAGGCTGCCTGCTTCCTCCCGGGCACCTTACCACCCTGGGAGTTACCGAAGCTTCGCCGTTTATAAAACACGATTCTCACTTCACAAGAAACTCGCCAGTGAGCGGCGGAGACCAGACGACGCTCAGGCTCCCGTCCGGCCCCCGGGACCAAGCTGCCCTTCCACTGGGAACTCTCAACTGAGAGGTCAGATTTCACATTTAAATTTTCCAGCACCCTCGTCTCCCCAGGGCGCCCCCAGAGGTGGCACGCGGCTCCCTTCAATTTGCTATCAAGACCCTCGCTACGGCCCTCGCTATAATCATGGCGCGCCTGAGGGTTTGTAAGACCGAGACCAGGGAGCGGTGTCCTAGCCCACTGCTCTGATTAGAGGCTTGTCCAACACCAGAAAGGTTACGAACTCTCAGAGCCAACGAGACTCTAGAAAACCATGAAATTTAAGCCACTGACTCTACAAGCAAGGAAACCAAGGCCCAAAGAGGAAAAGTGATCAAATGAGATAGAGCACATAAACTTGAAGAGTTTTTATTACTGTGAAAGATGCTTGTTGTTCCCGGCAAGTTGACCAGCCCTGTTGTGCCAGGGTGGCTGAAGTCTCCTACTCACACTTAGCCATTCAAATGCCCCCAAAAGTACCAGGGACAAGGCTTATTTAAATATCCTTTAAGGAGTGGTTCTAGGCCTGGGTGTGCATTAGAAGCGCCTTGGGAGCAATACGAATGCCTAAGCCCATGTCAGACCAACTAAATCAGAAGCCTTAGGGGTGGGGCCAGGCATTTTTTAAAGCCACCACGGGGTGACATGTTTCTGGGGCCGAGAACCACAGTCTATGGACCGAAGTGTGGTTCCGGGACCACTGGCCTCCAAAATCACCCAAAAGCCTCTGACAAGCAGACTTCTGGACCTCCCTGCTACATAGCAGTGGAGTGAGCCCAGGAATCTGAAGCTGTGACAGTTACCTGGTGGTTAGAGAACAATGGCGTCGGCATCGGATGCGTCCTAGAAATGGCACACGCGCTCCAGCTGACCCCAGAGTCCTGGATGGACTAGAAGCTGCCCAAGAGAGGCTTCCAGATGACTCAGACCCAACACCCACTCTTAGCCAAGAGCCACTGCGGAAGCCCCACGGCTTCCACACTGGCAGCCAGGGTGGCCCTTCCAGAAAGAAGGAGGAGGCCACTATGGCTCTGTACAGCCACCCCAGCCTTCCCATCTCATTCAGGACCCACCAGGATTTATAAGCCCAGTGGGGCCACTCAGGCCTCCTCTCCCATACTCTCCCCACCTCACCCCGTCCCCAGCCACGCTGACCTTCTTGCTGCTCCTGAAACTCCCCAAGCTTTCTGTGGCTTCAAGGACTTTGTCTCTTGTGTTTCCCTCCACCCTGCTTGCTCTCCCCTCGGATACCTGCATGGCCCCCTCTCTCACCCCTGCAGATCTCTGCTCAAATGTCTTTTTATCAGTGAGACTTCCCTGACCTCATATTTAAAATCGAAAATCTGTCTCCACACCCCAAACCTCCCTATCCTCCACCCTTGTTTCGTTTTCTCCATAAGACTTTTCACCCTCTCTCATACTTTATCTTTACTTGCTATCTATAAGCCTATACACACTAGAATATGAGCCCCATGAAGGTAACATTTTTGTGTGTTTCCTTTTACATGCCCAGTGCCTAAAATAGTGGCTGGCACATAGCAGGCACTCAAATGCTTATTCTAGGAATGAACGCATCAGAAACACCAAACTCAAAACATAACTTGTACCAAAAGATCACAAAGAAGAAGAAGCCGATGATACCAAAATCACTTCTCCACTGATCTCATCTTGGCAAAAGCCTTTTTAAAAACAGGCTAGAAGCCTAATGAAACAGAAACCATTTAGAAATAAGTATTTCCAGTCAATTAATTCAATCCAAATGGGTTTGTGAGTCAAAGACAATTTGTTTTGAGAAACAGATAAAACTATGGAGACAGAAAATGAACTTGAAAGAAGGTGATCAAACAGATGGATTTCAGATACTCCCCTGGTGTATGTGTAGTTTCGGAAGAAAAGCCAGGAGCACTGCCGGCCGCTCTCAGACAGCAGCGCAGGAAGAAGGGAAGGGCTCCAGTGCCGGGTCACGGCCTGTGCGCCCAGGCCTGGTGCAGGAGACAACCTCACACCACCAGGCCCATCGATTTCATAAACCTAAGGAGGACCCTTGCTTTCTCCCCTCTCCTCCTCACACCCCACCGGCTTCCGAAACCCATGTGAAGCCACAGACAATACTTTGAGTTCTCCCAAGTCGGGAGTGCTGGACGTCCTCGTCAAGGCAGCCACACAGGAGCTGGGGTGCATCCTGCCATGGCCAAGTCTCCCTGAGGTCATCCACTCCACATCCTTACCCTTGTCGCCTCTTTCCTCACCCCCTCAGACTCTCCCAATGGTCATCCTGCACGTCTCCCAAAGACCAGTCCTCTGCAAACACCACTTTCCTCAGGTCACTCCCTTTTCTCAACAACCTAATGTGATTTCCTCTAGGCTACCACAGCTCCAGCCCTCAGGCCAGGCTTCTGACAACCTCCATACCCTAGGCCTAGACGGAGACCACTGACTTTGTATTTCACCAGGTGCTTTGCACCTGCCTCAGAGCGCCACGTCACTGCCTTCCCCTTCAACACGCCAGTAAGACAGAAGATTGCAAAGACAGATTGCCCTGAACCACGTCCCTAATCTCCATCCCTGCCGAGAGCATCCCGGCCCTCCACACCATCCACACCTGTTCTTTCCCCTCCAGCATCTACCTTGTCCTTCCCCACTCCATTTCCAACATACACACACACACACACACACACACACACACACACACACACACACACTGTGCTCGTGCATGCATGTGCACTCATTCCATAACAGTAACTGAACACTTACTATGTGCCAGGTCCCTGCCCACGAGGTACTGACGTTCCACAGGATGGAGACACACAGACAAGCAGATTCGTGACATTAGGTAGTCCTATCACCTTCCTCAACAGGAGCTCCTCAATTGAAATCAGAGATTGGAGTGACCATATTTTCAATCCTGAAACAAGTGAGAGAGCAAGCCAGGTAGAAAGGCGGTTGAAGAGTTTGGGGCACAGGGAAGAGCAAGTGGAAAGGTCCTGAAGCAGGAAAGTGCCTGGTGCGGGCAAGGAGCCCAAACCAGAGTGCAAGGAGCCAGAGGCGATGGGGGAGGCGGCGGACAGCGGAGAGCCCACGGCAAGGGCTGGCTCTCGCGCCTCGACGGAAAGCTTCAGGGGGACCTGGGGAGAGGAGAGACTGCTCTGACACAGGAAAAGAACCACTCCCCTCTGCCTCTGCATTTCAGCCATCTATCATGAGAGATTAAATTATGAGAGATTTGTTCTCTCCTTGAATTTTCCAAAATTTTCCAGTGAGTGCTGTATCATTTTTTAAATGAAGGAAAAAACGACCTTCCCAACCCATTAAGACTCAGCCCAAATTCCACGTCTGCCTCAAAGCACCGCCCCCCCGTCCCCAGCCCAGGGCTAGGACTGTGCCCATCTGCACCCGTGGCCCAGGCAGCAGGACCCCGGGGTGACCCCAGAGTCGGCAGAACCCGCCTGCAGCAGCTCGAGAGCGTGGAGGTTTCTCGTGCTGCCCTCACCACCCTCCCACGTGGGACCTGTCCCTTTGGACACCCTTGCCCCCCA